AGAGGGAACTATGTAATACTCAAAGGAAACTAAAAGAGAAAGCATAAGCTTCAGCCTCCATTTTTAAGAATCATAGTCTGGGCAGCCGGCACGGTAGTGTAGTGGTTAAGTTCACGTGCTCCACTTTGGCGGCCCAGGGTTCACAGGTTCAGATCCTGGGCGCAGACCTGTGCACCGCTTGTCAAGCCATGCTGTGGCAGGCGTCCCACATATAAAGTAGAGGAAGATGGGCATGGATGTTAGCCCAGGGCCACTCTTCCTCAGCAAAAAAGAGGAGGATTTGCAATGGATGTTAGCTCAAGACTAATCTTCCTCACACACACACACCAAAAACAAAACAAAGAAAGAATCATAGTCTAGTTAGTAAATAATGATATATGTGAAAGATATCTTACAATAATAAGTGGCATAAAAATTGGGCACAGAGAGAGAGTACTGTAAGAAGCAGGAAATCATTGTCAGCTTCACGAAAGACAAAATTTCATGGAAAAAGAGGTATTTGAGTTTCCTCTTAGAGAATAAATAGAAATTGTATCATCTGAAAAATATAATTTCAGGCAGGGATCCATGATCATAAAAATGCGGAAGAAACATATCCATAGCCATTGATAAGTCATATTCGCTCTTTAGTCCCAGGTTCAATTTGTGATGAGACCGTAAGACTCCAGAGCTGTGAAAAGTGTTATATGATTTTTCCTAGACCCTAAATTCAAGGAAGTGATCCTAAAATGGGATGAATAGATTCTAGTGTGTTCATCACAGAAAAAGACTAAGAGATCAAATAAGAAGCAAAAAATTGGGTAAATTTCATTTGTCCACTCCCTCCCAGAATAGTGTAATCATCAAAAATATATTAAGCAATGCATAGAATTCATGTTAGCATGATAGAGCCTCTTTCCCCAAGGAGTTACAAACTAAAGCTAAAGTAACCATGCCACATGCCGTAAAATCAATAAAAATAAATACCACAGGGTTTCTAAAAGGAGAGAAAATCTCACAAGAAAAAAATAAAGATGCCCTTTTTTGGAAAAGTAGATTCACGAAGGATGGGTAGATGTCTATACTCTAAGATGAAGGGGAAAGCTGTTAAGGATGAGAAAATAGAATGAACGAAGACTTGGGATCAGAAAAGGGCCAAGAACGATTGTTAAATTGAGCCATAAGGTGTATGTAAGGGATGTATGGATGATAAGTTCAGGAAAATAGGTAGCAGTTTGGTTATGCATTATTTAAAAGCAAGATTGAAAAGCTTTTACCTAATTTCTAATCCAATCAGCCCTATGTATTTAGATTTTTTCAAGACTGTCTCCCAAGTCCTACAAGTATTTTCATTCTTTTCGTTCAAACAGAGAAGAGCTTTAAGAATATTTCTGAAATGTAGCTAATATAACAAATATTCAATTTTTTCTCCAATGAGCCATGCTACATCATTTTTTGCTTTATGTTTTTTCTCATCATTCATTGAAATTTTGTTTTCCAGGAAAATAAGAGAACATTATTTTGTAGATACATGGTTTTCATGACATTGTCCAAACTCCTCCTCCTCAACTTATACCAGTATTGCCACAGCAAAGAGTGAACATGTGCATTTTATTGCTTGAGTTCTTATTAGCATCAACAGCAAATCTTTGTTCAGCATATGCTGAGGATGAGGCACTGAAGGAGGTGTTGAGACACGAAGAGAAATCGTTAGCCCTTGTCCTTACTACAAAGACTACTGACGACTGGTAATACTGCACAAGTCAGACAGTATATTTTCAGAAAACATGGGATTTAGACCCATTTCTGATGCATGATATTGCTGTTTAATGCTTCAACTTCCCCATTTAAGTGAGAGAGGCTAATTTTTCTTCCTCATTTACTGCTTGGTATATTGTGAAAGTTGGAGAACCTGATACAGAAATGAAGATACTAACAAGCCAGGGAAGACAGGGTATCTGGTGTAATGCTGAGAGCTTAAGGCGTATGAGAAAATGACAAAATACAGATCATGCAGCATGTATACATTTGGAAGTAGAAAAAAATTGTTGAGGCATCCTTGGTACTTACAGTTTTACAATTATAATTACATGCTTAAATCAAATTATTATTCCCTTAACTAATCAAAAGTCACTATATGTTAGTCATAAAACAGAAGGTTTTGAGGATTCACTGTGTGATCAGCTTTGATTTATTTAGTTCCATTAAGAGATAATAAACAAGAACATGATTCTTATCTCTCAAGTTGAGGAAACAGAGTGAATCTACATGAACTCAGAAAACTTACATTCAATCGTTTGTTCTTAAGAAATTTTACTATGTGAAGCACAGTATTTTGGACATTGAGAATACAAGAAGATAAGTCAAATTGGAGAATCAGGAATAATAATTAAATAACCAATAAGCGGCTATGCACACACAGAGACATACTCATATATGTTTACATATTTACATATGTGTGTTTCTATATACTTACCTACAATAATCATATTTACTATGGGCGATAAACTGATATGTTTTTCTATTTGTTGTTTTTCTTTAAAATGCGATTATGTACTGCTGTTTACAAACAGTTAGTGTCATTCATTAGCCTGGATTCTTATCTCTAGGTTATAGATGGGACAATAACTAAAGCACTTGCAGTGAGTGGAAGGGCTGGGATTTAAACCCAGGCATCTGGCTCTATCATTTGAGCTTTTGAAGGTTCTCTTTTCTTTGTTCTTCTTCAGCATAGATTTGGTATTTTCTTCTCTTCCTTTCTCTTCTTCTATAGTCCTAATCCTTTCTATTCCTATTCTACTCTTTTCTCTCTCTCTCTCTCTGTCTCTCTCTGTGTATTTATATAAGTATATGTTTATGAATATGTACATATTTACATACATATATATTTAAAGTTTGATCTCAACCCCATAAATTACTTTTCAAGATTCACTAATGAATCTCACCCAAATTTTGAAAACCATGATATAGGCATAAATGATTCTAAGCATTCTGATGAAAGTGAACACTAAGGATGGGCAGACTCAGGCAGTTTTTATGGCACCAGGAAAGAAGGGCTTAAAGGGAGAGGAGGAATAGGTAACATGGTGTTATTTTTTTAATAGCTCTAATTGCTTATCTCCATTGTCTTTGAGGTTTTGGGAATATTATTGAGTCATCCTTCCACTGGAATTTTCAAGTGGCAAACGACACAGTTATTACAAAGTAGTTCAGAATGCAGTCAGGGGAGTCAGCCTGTGTGGCCTACAAGTTGTGTGATTTGGAGAAAGTTACTTAAACACCTCGTAGCTCAGTCTATTTATTTGTAAAATGAGAATAATAGAGCCTGCCTCAGAGAGTTGTGATGAATGTAATAAATATAATGTCCTAGACTGATGAATTGTGCATGGTCAGTTCTCACTAAGTATTGACTATGGGCTAGTAAATAAACACTTGATCAAAATCTGTGATAAAATTGAGAACAGAATCCAAAAGGGACAACTAACATATTTGTTCAGAGGCATTCAAGAAACATTTCTGATGTCTTTTGGTTCATTGTCAGTGAATTTGGCAAAGGAATAAAAAAAGTCTCATACTAATATTATTATCAATTATAAATAAATAATTTTAGTCCTGTATACAATGGGGACACATTCTCTTTAGAAAACCTCTCAGATACAGTTTTTTCATGTCTTCAGTCTGTAAATATTAAGGCATCCCAGCCGAGTCATCTAAATCAATTTGCCCCTGTGAAAGATTAAAGAATTTAGAAGTTATTTAGTACTAGAGTCCAAATATTTAGATAAAAATCAGGAAAATAACACAAGGAGGGAGGAAAGATGGGAGAGAGAGATTGACTGTTTGGTTGGTTGGTTGATTTCTAGGATCATTCAGTAGAAAAACTAGGGCTTGAGTCCTGGGCACTTTCCACTGGCTCTCCCATTTTTCTAGAAGGCAGTGACCTTCAAAGATTGCAAATTCACTTTGACGTCAGGGGAATGTTTTGCTGATGGCAGTTGGAAAGAGCAAAATATGGTAGTTACTCAAAGGAGCAAAAATTAGCACTCCTTACTCATTGAGCATAGCAACAGAGACAGAAAATATAATCTAACTTTAAAAATGGCTACTAAAAATGCATATCCATGTTTTACGTGAAAATGAGATCAAGGCTCCTACTTCACTGTGAATTTAACCTGGGTCTCAGGCAATATGAATATTCAAATCTGACATCCCTTTAAGCTTCCCAGTGGAAGAGGATGAACATTACTTTTTAAAATTTCCCTCTCCCAGGCAGGGTTTTGAGGGACCAAGACTGAGAGATTCATTAGCACAAATGTTTTATATCATATTTGCAATTTTCTTTCAATTGCAAATTTCCATCATAGAGTAACTAGTACTATGGTAATTAAGACATTAAATTAAATTATTATATCACATACCATGCTGAGAAAATAATAATGCAGTACAGTAATACACAACAATAGATAATTGCTAGGACAATAGGAACGTGTCCACAGTAAAGATAATAGTCATTTTTAGAGCCCTATTGCCACAGCCGGTTTCAACAGGGAATGAGTACATCCCATTAAGCACGTCCTAGGAAACTCTGGAATTGCAAGGACACTAAGATTTCTTGTCTTACACTTGCGGGTTGTCTCAGTTCTATCGGCTTCCCTTTATTTACTTTATCAGCATAGTTTTCATAGCTTTATGCGCTTTCCAGCTTCCTTTATGTAGGTCAATTGGATACAAATACTTGAGTAGTGCGAATGTTTATTATATGGAATATTTTTCCAAAAGTGTTCCTTTTTTTTTCCTTTCCTTGTGGCAAAACACCATTAACTGTAACTGTTTAACTGCATTTGGGGGGTAAAAACATGTGTTCTACAGTAGTTCCTGTATAATAAACTAAGGGTTCAGGGGAATTATTTGAATTACAAATATTTTCTATCCTGGAACAGTGTTTCTAACTCAGTGAAAACCTTAGCATGCAAGTTCACATCCCCACCCACTCACTTTTTCTTTCTGTCTTTGCAGTTCCACCATGGTTTTTAATTCACCCTTCCAACCTCTATGCCTATGAAAGCATGGATATTGAGTTTGAGTGTGCAGTCTCTGGAAAGCCTGTGCCCACTGTGAATTGGATGAAGAATGGAGATGTGGTCATTCCTAGTGATTATTTTCAGATAGTGGTAATTATCTTTTTTCATACTAGCTTTATAATCCCATTCATTGTTGACTATGTTTTCAGTTGCTTTTCTTTCCTGGGAAGAAGGTTCCTGTTGGGAATTTTTATGATGTATTGAGAAAATTGTTCTAATAAAGCAAATAGCTATTTAGACTTAGAATTTTTGAGCTGAAAAAGAGTGATAGAACAGTCCAGCTCCTTTTTTACAGACAAGGTTTTAGGCAAACAAACAAACAAAGAAAACTCAGAAGGCCTAAGACTATCTTTCCAAGTATTCTCATTGCTAGTTCTTGGAAGAACAGCTTAGAACCTATTTCTAGACCATATGAAGCCAGGAATCTCTTACTTCTTTGACTTTTACCCATTATAATATTTCAACAAGATGTGCTACTTATGTTTATAGTAGTCTGTCTTTGACAATACAGATAGCTTTCATTTGCTACACTTCCAGATAGGACCAGCTGATCCTACATGAGCAGTAGGAAAGGCTAGTGGTGACAATGACAATGAGGATGGTGGTAGCAGTGGTAGAGAAGCCATGGAGACCCAGAGTTCACGTTGCTTTGTAATTTTGAACATTGGAAAGAATTGAAGCTAAGAACAATAATTTTTATAGGTTCTCTAAGTTTTAGTGCACTCTCTGTCCTTCTCCTTGTTGGGGATACTAGGAATAATGGTATTGTATTCACTGAGTTGTTGTCCTGGTATATAGTGAGTGCTCAATACCTGTCATGATTATTGTTTTTGCTGTCACCAGCAGAATGCTTTGCTCATTCAAAAATGCTCTGTGAAAACACTCCTTTAGGTGCAAGTTGGCATTGGAGGTTCTGAATTCACATATACGAACATAAAAGAAATATGAAAAATTCTAAATATCAAAGAACTTTTCAGCCAAAGAAGGATGTTTTAGGTCCACTTCTCTTATGTTTGAGATGCAGACATGGCCCTGTCAAAGAAGAGTGATCTTAGCCCAGTCTCTGGGCAGAATGGGACTGGAGCACAGGCGTCCTTCGAGCCCAGGCACAAGCTCTCTCCACGGCCTTCCACTCAATGGTGGATTCCTCTTTCATGACCAGTCATCTTTCAGAAACTTTCATAATCTCGTAGTGCATGCATTTTGTCATACTGTAAGAGTTCTTAACGAATAAATCCACAAAGGATATCTTTATCACTTTTATCACCACTTACCATTTTTCACTTGAATTGCATTTGTTAATTGGTTGGGAATAGAATAAGAAAGGGAAACAATTTAATTTTGAATGCCACATCAATCTATTAGTTCCTTTAAGTGCAATGCTATTTCCACTACCACTGAATTAAAAATGACCTGCCATGGGGCAACTTGAAATGTGCTGTATATGCCTAAAATATATGCTACTTGCATAGAAAGGAAACTGTTGAGTGCCCTTAAGGACAGATGATAAAATGCAACATTTATTTTTTCTACAGTTTGAATAATCTTTCTCCCAGCATGACTCATTATAGCCAACCTATTGAAATGTTTCTTTTCTTAAGGTGAAAAGAAAATGTACAGTATGAGCCCTATTCACATTAAATTGTGCTTAAAAATATTTGCCCAATAGCTCCAGAAATCTGAGAGCCATTTTCTGTCGCACATGTAACATTTAGCACAAATAGTAACTTATATGAGAATTGTTAATTAGAAGTCAGTCAGCTTTATCTAAGAATTTTACATCAGCTGAGAATTGACTACAAGGCACTAAAAACAATTAAGAATTCCCCATAAGGTAATATTTATCTCTTAATGACTTCAGGGGAAGTGATTTAACACGTCTCACTTAGTGAACTAATTCTTACACTAATATTGAAGATAAACTGAGTTAGTATAATTAAATGCTATCTCCAGATCATTTTATCATCCTTCCTTGAAAAAGATGGTGACTCAATTTACATAAAATAGGAGTTAACATTGCTGTATTTAATTCATAGATTACTGAAGGTGAACCATTTGGCCATATAAGAAGAATGACACGAGTATAAAATATCCACCATGCCTCCCCTCCAAATCCCCAAAAGGGTACATGTCAAAGCAATTACAATTTTAAAAGGATTGCCAGACATTTTTTTCTCAGTAAACACTTTCAGAAAATATCCAACCTAGATTTCTTGTCCTTTAGAAGCTGCAAAGATCAGTGTTTTTGTTTCATTTTGCCTTATTTTCCATAGCAGCTGCTAAACTTGAGTTTCCTTCAATAACGAGTAAAAGAGTGAGACTTTTTTTGACGCTAACATTTGTTTATTCCACACCTAATAAAAGAGTTTTCTGCTCATGTAGGTATTGAGGGTGGTGTATATTTTTGTGAGTATATTTTTCATTGCAGAACTAGATTAAATTGAATTCAGCAGAGTCCTGGGAATCTATGTAAATTCCCAGGACACAGGACGTATCTGTGAAGCTGAGAACACTCATGGCCTCTCTTCTTGTTTCTTCTGTGAAGTGTTATAAATTTTATGTTCATTTTGTCACTTTCGAGTTTTTTGCTTTTTGAAATATTTCACTTGCTTTTTCTTTTCCCTAGGGAGGAAGCAACTTACGGATCCTTGGAGTGGTGAAGTCGGATGAAGGCTTTTATCAATGTGTGGCTGAAAATGAGGCTGGAAATGCTCAGACCAGTGCACAGCTCATTGTCCCTAAGCCTGGTAAGATGAGGGGAACTTTGTTCTGGCACCTGTGGTCACAATTATGTGCAGTTCATTTGTAAAATCCATATTGTTTTCCCTATCTCTCAAAGTTAATTTGTAATTATTTAGTTAATCAAAGTGTACATTTGTGTATTGATGGTATATTTTTCTAGCTAATTATATATATATATATTTCTCTCTCCAACCAGTGAGATAAAGTCATCATGAACAACAGGGACCTCTGGTTGTCAAGACAACAACCACTAAATTACTTTCTTCCCTCTTTTAGGGCTTGCCTTTCTTCCTGGTGTTTCATATATATATATGAAACAAGTATACATATATACTTGTTTATATTATATATATGGAACTTAGTATGTACTTATATACATATATATTATATATGGAACTTATATACGTATATGTTGTATATAAGTATATGTATATACACACATACACACATATATATTCTTGTTTCAATGGAAGTTGGCAGAGAAATAGCAGAAATAATCATTTGAAAGTAAAAACCATTTTTCTCTGTTTTTAAACTTTTTTATAAATTGTCCTTTTTCTATAATTGATAAAATTTTAATTTTATTTTGTTCTGTAGTCTTGTGGAGGTTTAATATGCTGGTGTATTCAAAACTAGCATAAATCTATATTAGACATGTCATGTACCATCCTTATTAACAACACAATTCCTACTAGGAAAAAAACAAATAAAAAGAAAAAACAAACTGGTCACCTGCTCTGAAATGTTGTATCACTAAAGAAGCTTAAAAATATTAATTCTTTTTTTTTTTTTTGTGAGGGAAATCAGCCCTGAGCTAACATCCATGCTAATCCTCCTCTTTTGGCTGAGGAAGACCGACTCTGAGCTAACATCTATTGCCAATCCTCCTCCTTTTTTTCCTTCACCAAAGCCCCAGTGGATAGTTGTATGTCATAGCTGCACATCCTTCTAGTTGCTGTATGTGAGACGTGGCCTCAGCATGGCCGGAGAAGCCGTGCGTCGGTGCGCGCCCAGGATCCGAACGCGGGCGGCCAGCAGCGGAGTGCGTGCACTTAACCTCTAAGCCACCGGACTGGCCCCATTCCTTTTTTTAAAATCAGAGATTGAGAAGTTGTTGGTATAGATCCAAATACTTTAAAATATTAATATCTCCTATGAAAAGTTTCCATATCATCTATTGATTATGTTAATTTCAACTCTTTTAAACCAACTTCCTTCCTCTTGACTTCACTCACTCTTGTTTTAAACTTACTATGCAGTAAATTTAATAGAAAATGAGACATAGTCTTTCTTTGGCTTCTATCATTTAAAATGTGCCTATTAAGGCCTTATATTTTGTGCATCCCTAACCGATTATCTGAAAACTCTCAGATTCTCCCAAAAATGCTCACAATGATGACTTTCCCTTTTTTCTTGATTGAAAGAAAAAAGCAACCATAGAACAACAGTCACAAAGGAGTAAAGGAACTATCTAGGAATTAAAAGGGACAATTAACTCTTGCTCAAGATCGCCCATTTCTGTGATGGACTATTTCTTTTCCCTCCATTTAATGTGCTTTAAGTGTTAGTGTAACTTCATTTGTGCGACTAAGTACATTCTCCTCTGCTTAAACAGTAATGGATAAGTAGGAGAAACGGAAGCTCTAAAATCAGAGTCTCTAACGTGAGCCAGGCTTTAAAAACTGCACCATTTCATTAGTAACGATCACATGGCCATGCTTACGCTACTATTAGCTGCTATACAAGTCACAGAATAGAATTCTAGTTAACCCTGATTTTCAGCTAAGGCCGTAAAGCTGAGAACAGTGCCAGATAAGTAATCCCATATTTCTAAAGGGAGGTGTGAGAGGCATTCTCTTAGGACTTGTCGGCACTGACCAGACATTCCCAGTGATCTTCCCCTGCCCATAGGGCTGGAGGATTCTTTGAAGTATTGGAATTCACAGGATTAGAGATTATCCTGGTATTTTCCTTCCCATACAAGCCAAGCTAGGGAGGCACCAGGAAAACATCTTGAACAGGTTGTGTGTGTGTGTGTGTGTGTGTGTGTGAGTGTGTGTGCGTGTGTTTTACTGGGGAGTGCTTGCAAAAATGGAAAATGGATAACTTATTAAAACTGGAAGCAGTCTGGAGCTGCCCACAATCCTGGGAGGAGAAAGGGGAAGGCAGCTGCGGGAAGAAGATTTAGTTCCACCTTTGAGAAGAACAAGAGTGTAAGTTGCACTTGATTAGAGCAGGGCTGAAGTCATATTGCAAGGACCTGACCCACGAGGTCCTGCCTGCTGAGGTGACCTCAACCAAAAGACACTAAAGGGACGCTGCCTGGGGTCAAGGTGAGCTGGGGAGCTGGGGAGCTGGTGCTGAAGGCCAACCAGACTGTGCCTTTCTTGCTTCAGGAAACGGGCAAGTGAGGGGATTCTTAAGTTTGAGGGGTCTCTGAAGAACCCACAGAGCTGCTCCACAAAGAAGAGGCATGTGGACGCCCTCTATGACTATGGACTTTTGAGAGCACAAGCTGAGAAAAACAGCCTTTGTCTCTTTACTCCAAATCCATCCTCTCCTCTCTGACCCTGGAGAAGCCCTAAGCAGAGGGGCAAAAAATAGGTCCAAGAGATTGAAAACACAGGTGACAGAGAGTTCCACTGCCCTTCCCCATATTTGTCTCAGGCCTACTCTGGGACGTGTGAAGAAACTTTAAATTGAACATTAGATTAATGTTTTGATTTAGATCTCACTGGTTTGTGTGTGTGTGTTGTCGTTGTTGTTTTTGATAGCTGAACATAAGATTTTTTAAATATTTTAAAGTGACCCCAGGTCCAGAGGATTGGACCAAGTTGTTATCAGGGGTAGGAGATGGATCTGACAGTGTGTGTTTGAAAGTAGATGATAGGAGAAAATAAAACTATTTCTTTTTAATATCTGAGTAGCTCAGCTCGTTCAATAAACCGATTATAGGCATGCAATATCACTTGTACCAGGAGGTTCTGACTTCAACAGGTAGCCTTTTATTAGTGGTGTCTTGCATCTTTCTCAGGCCCTGATTCATTGGGTCTACGTGACCTTAAAAGAGCAAGGCTTCCTTTGGCAGATACATCATTTACCTCCTCGCTAAGCAAGCCTTGGAGAAACTTGCTAATTTATTCTTCTCCCATCTAGATGGTAAAGTGTCGTCAGTGGATTCTACACTCTTGGTCAGTATTTATTGTATTTGGCATTGGATTAGATGAAAGTAAAAGAAAATGAAAACAAAAATCAGAAAGCATGACAGGATGCCGTTGTGACTGTTTTACATTCCCCCCTTATAAATGATGGATTGTTTTTTCCTGGCTATTTAATCAGGTCTGCAAATAATACCTCTCCAATTCCTCAGAGATGCAGCGTAGGCCACGTGCACAGATGGTGAGAGACCAGCTATAAATATAAATTCAGCATTGAAGCTGACCATAGTGGGAAGAACAGAGCTCTCTCTGTTTAAGTTTCAATAATAAACAGTCGCCATATATTTGGAGGCACATTGTGGGCCCGCATTGCCCAGCTGTTCAGCTTTGGCCTGTCCACAGGCTTGTGGCCGAGAGTTACTCTTGGCAACCATAACAATCTGCTTCTCACCGAAGCATGCACAATGACCTATTCAAGCCAGTGTCCATTGCTGGTGGACATTGACAAAAGCCTAACAGAGTTTCAACCTAGTCTTTTATATATATTTAGCTATTCCCTCTTTAGCACTGAGTGACTTAGGAAATAAAGTAAACATAATCTACTAAATTAAATTAAGTTAATGACTTGTTTTTCTCTCTGGAAAATGAGTTTGGGAAAAATATTTGAAATGTGTGCACTATAGCATGTGAAATCTATACATGGTTTCCTCTAGATAAAGATCAAGATCAATAGCATTTTAAAAAATCATTATACTATAGGAAGTTCTATCAATAGTGGTATATTTAATGCTGTAACACCATACACACAGTTCCAGACTAATGCCTCTCTATATGTATACTTAAAACATGTGCACACACACAGACATGTGCATACACAATGGCCTCCTGCACAGTTAAGAAGACTGTATACACTTAAAAAATACTTAGCCATATTACGTAAGTGGTAGTGAATGCAAGTTAAAATAGTTTAGCTGACTTGAATAGCTTGTGTTGCCTATTAATCTCTTCTAGGAGCTGAGGGAAAGTTGTATCGTTGTTATTGTTTGTTTATTCATTCATTCATTCATTCATTTAGTTATTTTGGGAGGGACATTGGTCAAGAAGTCCCTTTTCTAAATGAAGGAGACTATCTATAGCTCCAAGTCCACTAATCAGTGAATAGCCCAGTCAAAAAGTATCAAAAATCAATGTGTCAGGTGTCATAAGAATAAGTTTCAGTTGCCAGAGTTGCAAACAGGTAAGCAATAAATTAGGATCCAATTGGCATAGCGGGTGCTGATGAATTAATTACCCTTGAGTCACCATCTGGTAAACTGGAGTGTGGGTAGGTAGTAATTAGATTAAGACGACTATTTGGTAGCTGGGTGGAAAAGTTGCAATTTTCTGGTGCTGAGGGAGATGGGGAAGGGAGCAAAGCAGGAACTAAAGATAAGATAGATATAGGATATCAGTTCTCTCTCAGTTAGTTATGCTAGTTCTTGCTGCTTGGTAAATTCAGTTTCCTGGCAGTGGTCTGCAGTGGAAGGAATTAGAAATATCTAACTTGTTGGGCGGGGGAGTTGAGGGTCAGGGAATTGGGAATGCAGCTAAGATCAGGGCATATGTAGTCTGGAATATTTTTAATTTAATGGCTAAAATGGGTGAAGATAGAATAAAGTTGCCGTGTGAAGAAATAATGTATTCTTCATATTCTACTATGCACAGAAAGGCTATATGATTGCAAATGAATAAATGCTATCATAAACATTTCCTAAATGTTGATTTGCTTGGGCAAGATACCATATCATGCCTTCCACAGAAGAAGTGAAAGTGGTTTATGTGTCTCATGTTAATATTGAATATTTTCT